TTGTTTTAGGTAAGAGGTATTCATAAATTCCATCATTTCATTGTCATAAAGTTTCGTGGGGCACATATACGGTGCACTCTAAGCGCACTTGATCACGTTTTGCAGATCGCTGTGTTTGCTATTACGCGAGAATCCGTCATTATGTCGTGAATCAATACAATTTTGCTGGCGTATACATTGTCAAACAATGTTTCTTGCCATGACAGATCCATGATGTATCAGATCAATATAATATTAGATTATTCTATAAGTTCGCACACATACACACCCAAATTCATCGCGTACCTTTACAGGAGATAATTTTTGCTAGATTTATTTCTCGGTTAATATTCATCAAAAGTACTCTATTTTATTAATAGATATTTCATAATTTTTATGTAAGATTTATTTAAAAAATTGCATTTATATATATTATTATAATTCTCGAAAAGAGATATTTATTCGCGGTGAATATTTTCATCGTTAGTCAAAAATATTATTCTCTTAGCATAATTGATTATTGAAACACAGATAATTAATTAATTGTTGAAGCGTGCGTAACATATTAAACGTCGCATTTTAATTTGTACCAGATCACAATCATTATTATATTTATAATTATATCTATAATAATTTTTATTTATAATTATTATAATTTATAATATTATTAATATCTATAATCTATAATATTATTAATACAAATTATTAATATCTATAATAATTTTAATTTGCGAAATTTTTTTTTCACACAAATTCGCCAGGATCTAAACAGAAGAGTGTGTTAAATCATTCGAAGGGATTACCATAAAGAAATGATCGGTGAAATCAAAATTCCTGCTTGCTACGTGACGCTGAAGAGACAGATGATTCAGTTGCTATCTATTCCCTGTCGAAACTATTTCGCCATATCAAATGCATATAAGCGGCGCCGATCGTACGATAAAAATAATTCCGTTGGTCGCGGTTTGCAAATCACTGCGTCGCGTGCCGATTTTACACCGCATTTCCATGGATAACGCATGCGGGAGTCGAATACAGTCAATCACGACAATTTGCATCTCTCCTGTCTACCGCGTGTTTCATCACCTCCACCTTTTCTCCCCCGCCTGTCCCCCCGCTCCTCTCTCTCTGTGTATTCTCATCTCCATTATCTCTATCGGCTTGTCGAATGTGCCTTGTGCCTTTGGCGCAAATCACGTCTGATTGAGATTTCAGGCCGGATTCGTGAATAGAACTTGATTTATCGGCCTATACATACGTCTACTGATCTCCCCTGCAGACAGCGAGCTCGTCAGCTGCGGCGAATACATTAAACTGCATCTCGCGTAAGGGAATCTCTCCGATCACATCTTCGACAGTTGCTTTCTTCAAGATAAAGAGTTGGAGGATCTTTTTAGTGTTTCAAGATTTCTTGGCAGTTGGAAATAAAATTCTCCGCAATTTTCATAACACATGGTGGTCTCCTGGTAACGTGCTGCTATTAGCGGCGTGCATTTTTAACATTCTGTGGCCGCTAAAATCTTTTTTTAAACTCACGGCACGGCCTGTAATCTTCAGTCTCTTGCAAGCCTCCTTTGTCCAGAGAAGCGACGCGAAACAACGAAGTTCCAGGAGAAATTTATGCGACGTAATAAATTCACAAAGTTCATTCTGACGATGTTTATCGCTTCCATTACTTTTGGCGCCCGACGAAATAGCCCAGGCTGCATCGAGAGCACGATGATAGTGCGGAAAAATATTGCCGTTATAGATTTATTTAGCAAATCGAACGATATATATATATATATATATATATATATATATATATATATATATATATACAGGGTATTTTTTAATAAGTGCGAAAAATTTTAGATGATTCTTTGTCGAAAATTAAGAAGGGTTTTTCACATAAACATATACTTTTACATCCCTCCCCGTGGAGTTACACTTCTCCAAAAATGGAAGTAAAAATTAGGTTTTTATTTTTTAGATTTTTAAGTTTTTATTATAATTTTGTTTTTGTTCCAATTTTTCCAACATTTACTCTAATTTTATTTTTATTTTAAAATTTAACTTCTCGTAATTTGGAACCTATGCTATTTAGTATCATGCTGTACACGATAACGTATTTTATTCTTTTTCTTGAAAACTACTGATTTTATGAAAAAAATAAAAAAAAGTTTCTAAATAAATCAAACTTTTTAATGCATATTTTTAGATTATCATATTCCGGCCCATTAAAAAGTTCTAATAAAACATTGAATAGAAGTTGCTAGTTTTATGCCCTTATAACAATACGGGAGGCTGAAAATAATATTAATAAATAATCTTTTTACTAATAGAAAATATCTACCTAATTTCATTTCTTTAACTTATTCCAAATTTGAGAAAAGAATAAAAACCTAATTTTTGGAGGAATGTAACTTCACAAGGAGGGATGTAGGAGTTATATGTTTATATGAAAAATCCCCCTTAATTTTCGACAAAGAATCATCTTCTAAAATTTTTCGCACTTATTAAGAAACATCCTGTATATATCGATGCTGTTAAAGAAAGTTATCGGAAGAAGCTCGAGAGAACTTTGAAAACTAAATTTGTATATCTAATCTATATATGTAGTATATAATTATAAACATTGCTGTTCAGAAACAATTATTTATACACAGCGTCGCTTTGAAAATAACTGTCTCACTATCGAATTTTATGGAACGAAATACCATAAAGATTTCCTTCCCCTTCATAAACAGTTTGTTTTATACGCTATTTCCTATTTTACACACTTGCCGCCGAGATTTCATTAGCTACTTCATGGTCGCCAGATAAATTTTAGAAGAAAGGCAAAAAGTCTCCTATATTATGATTCTACGTGCGTAACGTAGGGAATTGGGGGGAGGGACATTATCGATTATCGATTCGCGAGGTGAAAAAAAGGAAGCGAGAGGTTCGGGTACCCTCGTCAGGAGAGGAGAAGAAAGGAGGAAAAAGCGTTTCCCAAGTACTTAGATCTAGCTCTATAACACCGCAGACGCATTACACGTCCGGCGCACCGGTTGGCAAGCGCAGGCCGCTTTCGTTTTAATTCAAGTGCACGGCTGGCATTTAGCACCCGGATGAAAAAAGGCCGGAGGAGCGCGGCGCCTGGTGGTATGCAACGCTCGCTCGTCGCGTGCACGTGTGCACCAGCGGGCTGACAGCGCAACTGCATCCCGCGGTGAAGTTTCAGATGCGGTACCTATCCACCCCGGAAAAATATTGCCTGCACATCGTAAAAGCCCCGCGGACAAGATTGTTTTTCGTTGTGTTGCTTACGACGATAAACGACGTGCATATACAAGTTTCCATATTCATTTTTGGAAGAGCGTTTAACAATTGGACGTGCGAGAGGGATTAAAATAAGAATGACACAAGCAAAATGAAAGAGAATTTTTAATAAGATAATTAAAAAAATAGAACTTCGATTAGCTGAGGTATATTTTTTTATATTTAAAGATCTTGCCCTTAAAATATTCTTGAATTTGTTGGGATTAGAATAAATAAGAATTATGAAAATCACCCCATATCGTTTCGTATAATATCATAAAAAATTTTAAAAAGCTTTAAACTCGCTAGATTGCCGAGTTATGTATATCGAAAAAAGAGTTGGCAAGATTTTAATTCCATTCGCAAACGCGATGTATTTGGTTTGGAAGAAGGCGCGTATATTATATTAAAAAAGAAATAATAAAATAAATGAACGAAAAACATTCCCGTATTTTATTTTTCATTTCCGAATTAAATTCGTTTACAGATATGGTAAGTCGCAGATTAAAACAGATATAAAAAATTACAATGATAAAAAATGTTTTTACGATAAGCGGAAGAAAGAGAAAGGAGAGAGGGAGATTTTCACAAATAAAGTATATTGAATTACAAGCTCGAACAAAATGATATGCAAATGAATGAACCTGCATACGTATCTAATATGGGATATAAAAAGAATTCTAACATATAAAATATAAATATTTTTAAAAATTTCATCTTGCAGATAAAATTCGATATATCACTTCGCGTATTTATGTCATATCTTCGCGAAATACATTGCATAGTTTCGTTGAACTTTATGCTTTGTAACAATATACGAAATTTGAATTGAGTAAGATAAGAAGGGTAACCCTTATTAAATTAGCCTTCCCCTCGTCTGCGCCAAATAAAGGCTAATCTATTCCAAGATTAAGTGCTAATTAAATACTAAAATCCAGAATTAGATGCTCGAACCAGGTTTGGCAGGTAAATTAGATTTATATTAGAGAGAGGCGAAGTTCACTTAATGTTCACTTGGTCATTAAAATAATGTATAATGAATAACAAAAATAAAAATATTTAGAGCATTAAATTATCCATTCTTAAATTGACAGACATTTCCAAATTTAGTAAGGTGAATATATAAATTTTGCCTTTTATGAAGAAACACAAGTTAATGTAGAAACATTCCATATATTAAATAATTTTTGCATAATTATTTAAGTACAATTATTATAAAATCAATATATTTATTTACCAACCACTTTTTATTTGCTGTTTATATTGGCCTATTCTAATTTTACGATATATAATTTTATTTACAATATATAACTTTACAATATAATATATATGTATATATCATTTTCTACAAATATTTTCATACAATAAACGTCGTTTGTCTTACCAGCCTGAATTTGCGTAAAAGATTAACCCATTCAGACCTGAATTTTTTCTGTAATGTAAAAAATTATTGAATTAATTTTTATTGATGCTAAGGGTTTAAAACGACGATATATATATATATATATATATATATATATAAATATATATATATATTTTTTTTTTTTCCGAGATATATATACTTTTTTTTCCACCGAGAGATCGCAGGGAAACTAATTCTAAAAAATAACTATTTCACATGATTTTAAAGTTTTTGTGCATAATTATACATAGGGTCTGAATGGGTTAAGCAGGCTTAAAATTAAGACCGAGGGTAAGATTTTCTCCCTAATAATTCAAATGTGTTTTCTGTTACGCAGAAGTCGAGGAGCGCTCCGGCGGGAAGGCGCGCGGCGGCAAACTAGCGCGTCGTGCGCGCTCCTTCAAGGAGGACTTTCTGGAGAAGCTCTCCCACATGCGTTCCCCCGGTAGCGGCAGCGGCGGCGGCGGAGGCGGGGGCGGCGGAGGCAGCGGGACGGGCACGAGGGCCGCCTCGCCCTCGTCACCGCGTACGCCGCGGGACAAGAGCGTCCCGGGCTGCAACGACTCCGGCAATACTCTTGACAAGAATCCCCTACGTGATCTGCACATCCACGTGCGGCAGGTCCAGCTGGCGCTGCTCCACTTTCGGGATGTCGTGTCCAAGAAGAAGCTCGAGATGCTACCCGGGAACGGCACGATCGTCCTTGATACCGTTACCACGATACACAACGCGTTGAAGTCCTATTTGCTCTATGAGAATAGGTGATTGTTAATTTCTCATCGTGGAAATAAAATCTTACCTAACAGTAGTCGATTATAATCAATCCCATCTAGCTTCGGTCTTGCAATTTTTTTTATATCAGATAGATTTACAATAAAATTAGAAAAATATTTAGAAATTCAATAAGCTTGTTTCATTGAAAGATAGATTGTTTGTTCACCTATTGGTATATATTTTGTAATGAACGTCATTGCAGTTTTTTATGACAGAAAATAACATAATTTGGATTGAAATTAGCGAGATAGAATCAATTTATATTTCTTATGCTGCTAATTCTATATTCTGTCATTGTTGCAGTTCCACCTTGGGATCTGCCACGAATCAGGTGTACCAAGCGTTAGCGCAATTGCTGAAACTCTGCGACGATGTATTGCTGCACGGTGATCAATCCTCCGCTCTAGACACCGAGAACGTGACGCACGTTATCGGGCTGGTTGAGGAGGCGGTGAAAAATTTAGTGGCTCTGGCGCACGAGAAGATTGCCAACAAGCAGAAACCGGCATCTGTTGCGAGTAGTAATAGGTAATTTACAACAAGAAACGAATGGAATTTCAATACCAAATAATGGATGAAAAGAGAAAAGAGTTTCTATGCTATCACATCACCAAAATCAAGATATGAGGAGCGAATATTGGAAGCAGATGTAAATTATTATAAATGCATTAATATAAAGATAATGTAAAATAATTTCTAATTAATATCAATTTTTATAAATGATATATCAGAAAATTATATGATTGACAATCACAATACTTAAGATATATGAAATATTTTGTTTAATATTATAGAGGATTAAAATGCAAATTATTAAAATGTAGAAATCAAAATATTAAGACTAGACTGGAAGAATTTTACTGGAGATAGTAGGAATTTTGAATAACTTAAAAAAATAATTTATTAAAATTTAAACTTGTTAGAACTTCCGGATATGGATCGGAATTAACGCAAAGAAACTCTCTGCCGGATATACCTTTGACACCAAGAGAACGCCAAATCTTGGAACAAACGGCAACGAGCAGTAGCTTGGTTCGCAGCTCGCACAGTTCCGAATCGATCTTGCGGGATTCTAGTCCACCACCGAAACCTCCGCTGCCCGACAGGTAATACTCGTTTTTTGTTATAAAAGAGGAGGATAATAAATCACCTGTCATTGTTGACGGTTGAACGTAGAACATTGCTCGATCCCTTGTAGAACAAATGTATGTTTGTCGGAGGAAAACAGCTCTTCCGGTACACCTCCTCCGTTGCCGCCGAAGAGAAGAACGAGGACTCAACAGCTTCTCGACGAGTCAGAAGGTCTTTTGGCATCTAGTCTTGATAGAGTATCCCTTCGAAGTCGATCTCCAGAGGATTCGTCGTCTCTTCTCAGCGCGTCCGCCGGTAGTTTGGATTCGGCTCTGAATCACTCCCGAGACGAGGACGAGATTCGAGCCATAATGGGACCAAATGATGAATCTTTGAATGATAGTATGGACCTAAGTCTCATGGCTACTATTCAAGGTAACGTTCATTTAAAAAAATTTATCTTATCGTTAAGATTCTCGTGTATTGCTTAGATATAATTTTTAATATTTTATACCTGAACAAAATATAATGTATTATTATTTAACATAAGGAAACAATTCGCGAATACATGTGCAACACTTCTTACTAATATAATATTATTTGTTTGAGTGTAACGTTTCGCGATTGCGTCTTAATTTCATTACTGCGAATTGGTAGAATTGTAAATGCGTTCCCACATGTATGAGCGCTTCATGGTCAACGCTTATTCAGCATATTAGTTTGGTGTTCTATTCGTGTTTCGATCTTTCCATCGAGTGAGTCTACAATCAAACGTCTGTTCGAACCGTACAAACGTGTTTTTATATCGACGAACTTTAAGTGTATTTTATTAATATCGAAGGAAAGTTTGCGATAATTATGAATTCAGAATTTTCTCGTGCTTTATATACAGTAGTTAATAATAAATGTATCAAGTACATGAAGCTCAATATAAACTATGAAGGTATTTCAAGAGTTTTGTACAGTGTCGGATATATAGCATACCATTTCTTTTCATATACATAATCAATATATGCTATTTTCACGAGATAAGAAGCTATTATTATTAATGAGAGTATATTCTGAAAATTCTTTATTGATATTATGTATATTTATCGTCAAATTGAGTTTATCATTTATTTATCTATACTTATCATATAATTGATATTTATTACACAATATAATATATTCTATATTATTATAGGCATGCAAGTGAATGGTACATCAAACTGTAATTGCTGGGACGGTTCTGAAACTAGCATACCAAGTACTATGTTGCTAGGTCAACAAACACCTCAGGAAATGCTTAGTCCATTCACTGGTATGTAGTTTCTTCACTATATCAATTTATTAATGTCGAAAAAAATGGTCAAAAAGTGACGAAATTATTTAATTAATTAATTACACATATATATTTCTCTCATAAAAAAATTGAAGAGCTCCACGTTTCATTATTTAATTATTTAGTTACTTTAATTCTATTATTTAATATATAACTCAATAGTTTCAAATATTTATAGAAATTGGAAAAGGAAAGAGATATATATCGAGATCTAAAATTATGCAAGAATTCTTGAAATAGTTAGTGGAACAAGTTGCGTGGGTGACATCGACCTTCCAGCCGTATGATTGAACAGTATTTTATAGATCTTCGTTCAAGCGAGATCGAGCAAAGCTTTTGCTCTTCTTTCTTTCTCTTTTTTATTTTACGTTATCATAGATAAAATAATAATGTCACATAAGTCTAGTTTCGGTTGGAAAAATGTTACACTTTTTCGTAAGCAAACATTGACAAGCATTGATTTGTATATTATTCTTATCGATTTTTCTCTTTATTTTATATTTCTCTATATAAGCTTGAGTCGTATTTATTTTATTCTAGGTATAGAAGGAAAGATGGAGCGATTGTCTACGCAAACGCAGGAATCGGGCTTCGTTTCTATGCATTCTCAACGAAGTTCATCTCAAAGTTACACCACTGCGTCCAAAAGATCGTCGCAACAGAGCAGCATTAGTTATAATTCTCAATCATTTAGTGCACAGCAACAACAGTCGTTCTCCCAGACCAAATTATCCTCAGACAGTAATGGCTCTATTTTTACACAGAAGACGATGACCAGCTCCAAAAGTACCATTAGCACGACCAATGTGTCTGGAAACGGGGACCCAGCTTTATTGGAGAAATTGGTAAATGTATGTTGCATTTTGTTTTCGTTTACTTTTTTTTCTCTCGAATATTCATAAAATGACACATTCATTAAATGACACAGTCATTGATCTATATTTCTTTCATTCACATAGGAAATGGAATCAACGACAACTACTACGTCTGATTCTAACGGAGCGCCTCCAGCATTGCCAGAGAAGCGATCCAAACGAAGAAAGGAACGGCAGCCATCGCAGTACGACAATGTACCGGAGAACGAGCATTTATCTACATGTACTTTACACACCAGTAATGGAGATAGTCCAGATGCCAACAAACCACCTCCTCTGCCACTAAAGAAGCGGCATAGTAAGTAATCTTTTTAGCAAATTATTATTAATATTGCTGATGAGAGATGGAGGAAGCCAATAGAATTAATGTTGTCTAACAGCATTGATGTTATAGTATTTTACCTCTTATTGTCTCAATTTTAAGATATATATATATATATATATATATATATATATATATATATATATGAATTTTGAGAAATTATTTGCCGCATTAGCGAATATTTCTCTCAAGTACGATTTATAAAGCAATTATATTGTTTTTTATGTTTCATGTACGATATATATAATTTATTATGTCAATATGCACATAGATATTAAAGAAAATAGTAGTGTAAACATTTTCCACACAAATATTAATACATTTTTATAGTAGATTATAAAACTGACGCAATGTTTTGTATATCCCCCAGTGTTCCAATCAGTGGCATATTCCGGTAAGTGGGATCCTGCCCACATAATTCAACTACTTTCCCCCCTCAGCAAACACTTTTATACGCTAAGTTAATGTCGTATGTTTCACATATTTACATCAGATTTTAAATTTCAGGCTTTTTGCGGCATGTTTTATGATATTCCCTTTTCTTTTTATCGCAGATATTTTAGAATACGATCTTTTGTTTGATATTGAGCTTGAATTTTTATTAATAGCTGGCAGCTTACTCGTGATTTATTTTCGCATCATAAATAATATTGCAAAGATATACATATCGAGTCATTTTTTCATGATGTTACGATGAAAAAAATTTTGCGGGTTTTCTGCAGTTTATTAACACAAATGAGTGAAAAGTAGATCAGAGCTTACGTGGGCTTGTAATCTTTTTCTAATTAATTTGACCTTTTTCGTTAATAGAGAGTCGACTATGCTTCATTGGTTGTCAAGAGTTAAAGCTCAGTTTTCATTCTTGTGTCGAGACAAACGGACTAAAAACGAAAGAATCGTTAGTGTGTGAAATTTTCTTAACTTATGTGATACTTTTAAAGCCTACTTTTGAAGCTAGTAATTACTACTTGCACTTGCTCTCATTCTACAATAGCTCAATAGTTGTCAAAGTGTAATATAGCGGTACAAGATGCTGTTTAAAAGATTCCATTCTTATTCCAGTGAGTTTAACTTTTAAAATTTTTTTTCTTTTACACATGGCTTATCGAAATAACGAATACACAATAATATTTGCTTATGCATCAGTGTTCCCACACAATCTATATTTCCACAATCATACGCTTTAATATCTTATTACAGCATTTATCGCGCTTGCTACATTCATCGACTGTATTATATATGCCAAAAAATTCAGTTTTTGTTCAAAATAATTTATAATAACAAAGATTATTCTTTCAATTCTCTCATGAGATTTTAAAATTAACATACTTATATGTATATTTCAGTTATGGCTTACATGGAGATGTTTGGGAATTGCTCCCACAGTAATAACGATTTCATTTCGGGTCTCGGTACCCGTCATTCTGTAGCAGCTTACAATTCGATGCAAGCAGAATGGCAACAGCACGAGATGTCCCTCACCACAACTCAATCGTGTTCTTTTGTAACGCATACTGTGACTGCTTTACACGATAGCTCAAGGTACTGTGATATCTAATTTATGTGTTCTTGTTATGTATTTATTCACTTTTATTATACAGATATTTTTAGCAAATAATATACTAGAGAAGTAGAGTATTTATATTCTTTTTTTAGCCTTTCTATGACTACAACACCGAGCTCGATAGAGGCAACAAATAATTCTAGTCTGCCCCCGGCATTACCACCAAAGAGATCTCGTTCCATTAAATCAAATGTTACACCTCCACCAATATCGCCAAAACCCACAATCAGTATGCAGAGTATTCACAATTCGGATTCTCTTGTGACATCGACGCCTCTGAAGTCGGAAGAGCCAACATACGCACATGAAAAGAAAGACGTTACACCTCCGACTCCTGTAAAATTGGTAAACATTAATGTAATAAATTCACGCTACTGCGTTATTATTACAGACGAATCATGATTCAATGAAGCATGTGCGTGATGAGATCATTTTATTTTAGAATAACAATGTTATTATGGACACAGTATTATCATCATCTAGACCTGCTAGTAATGCTCTTTCTTCCATATCAGTCGATGAAAATACCCTCGAGTTAAGGGATATCGATCAAGATGATAATATTTTAGATGAATTAGATATTAATAAATACTTGGTATTGAAAAAATCTGATGAAGAAGGTCCAGATATACGTGGTGGGCATCCAGATGCTTTATTAATTCACGCCACAAAAGCAAATAAACACGGTATATATATTTTTTAATTCATTAAATCTGTAAAATATATTTAGAATTAATATTTAAAAAATTAGAATAAAATATCTAAACATATTTATTATATTATATATACATATTTTTATATGCTGCATAGATGAAAAAGAATCAGGTAATATTTTTAATTTTATAAATATATTAATAATTATATTATTATTATCGCGCAAATTGATAAATAAATATTCATGATGAGAATCATCAATGAAGATGAATGAATCGAGTTTTGATAAAAATAATACACATCAATATACATCTTTTGCAGACTTCTTATATCAAGAAGCATTTCTAACAACATACAGAACCTTCATGCAGCCATTAGAACTGATTCGAAAACTACATAGACGTCATCAACGTTTCTCATGTTCCCCAGATGTCGTTAAACAAAGAGCTGCGCGTGAAGCATTTTCCTTATTAGTTAGAGTTGTTAGTGATTTAACGTAAGTATAGACTCTTATTTTATATTTTTACATTCTTATATTTCTGAATATAATATTTGATATTATTTTCTATTAAACAGAATATCTGATCTTGACGACGTTCTTCTGCAAACTCTGATGGAATTTGTACAGCAATTGGTTTGCAGCGGCGATCTTACAATGGCCAAAGCGTTGCGGGTTAAGATTTTAGAGAAGCATACTATCAAGCAATTACAAGCAACGCAACCGATTCTCTCATCTCTGAGCGTAACAACGAAACAGGCTTCTCTGTTGGACTTCAAAAGTGAACAGATTGCTGAACAAATGACGCTACTCGATGCCGACTTGTTTATGAAAATAGAAATCCCGGAAGTGCTGATCTGGGCGCAGGAACAGAATGAAGAAAGAAGTCCGAATCTCACAAGATTTACCGAACACTTCAATAAAATGTCGTATTGGGCGCGATCTCGAATATTGGAGCACCGATTAGAAAATGAGGCGAAGGATAGAGAGAAATATGTCGTAAAGTTTATTAAAATTATGAAACATCTTAGGAAAATTAATAATTTTAATAGCTATCTCGCGTTATTATCTGCATTGGACAGTGCGCCTATTAGGAGACTCGAATGGCAGAAGCACATTACAGAAGGTCTGAAGGAATATTGCGCTCTCATCGATAGCTCTAGCAGCTTTCGAGCCTATAGGCAAGCTTTGGCAGAAACGCAGCCACCATGTATTCCTTATATGTAAGAGCGCAAGTTATGTTATTTCTCATATTTTTTTAATTATCAGAAATATATGTATATATTTTTGTTTCAGCGGACTTGTTTTGCAAGATCTTACGTTTGTGCATATTGGAAATAACGATTTATTACCAGATGGCACTATAAATTTCTCAAAAAGATGGCAACAATTTAATATTGTTGAAAATATGAAAAGATTTAAGAAAGGGTGAGCATTTTTGTTTTATCCCCATAAACATTCGACAAATTTTAATGCCTTAATCATGTGTTTTACAGCACGTATTCTTTCAAGAAACATGAACGCATCATAACATTTTTCAACAACTTCAGCGATTTCCTCTGTGAGGAGGCAATGTGGCAGATCTCCGAAAGCATCAAGCCACGTGGTGGCAAAAAAGCACAGCCGCAAAATTAGAATATACCTAACCCTTTCACTGCCTGCGTCTCGAAAGGCTGAAACGTGAGTGAATTGAAAGATTTATATTTATGCGTAGGTATATACTTTTTTTGCGGAAGGAAAAGAAATTCCCTGCTATAATGCTCTAAGAGCAGTGAAAGGGTTAGCGAGTCTATCCCATTTCAACACAGCCTCTGTGAGGTTGTATTTTATTATATTATTAAATCTTGTATGAAAATTTTAGCATACAAATACATCCGTAAACTCGATATTTAGCAGATTCAATATATAACATAACACATTGTTTAACTCAAACTTACGTTTATAATCAATTGGAGATCGAAATGCCGAAACTCGGAAGAATTTCAAAACGTTAAATAAACCAATATTTATCCCAATGCATTTTCAATGTAATCTTTCCGTTTGCTACAATAATAATATATTCGCTATGAGGAGATATGCAACTTATACTTAACTACAACTATATGTAATAATGTTTATTGTAACATTAATTAATGAGAGAAACCCCGATCTTCAGCTCTGTTCTAGATACATTTAAAAGAAACTTATTTATTTGCCTTTTTGTTAGCAAAAATTGTACATATATATATATATAAGTATAGTATATACGTGTACGCGTTTTCTTTTTTAATTTATTTAGGTGTATGTAAACGTCCACACATTTGTAGCTTTATGTAGATAAGTGAATTTTCGAGCGTCAACAGGACACTGTTGATTACACAAGGATGAACACCAATTACGTTGATTAATGTAGGGCCATTGTAGTCTCGTGTTAGCGCTCTGGTACGCGCGTATCGGGACACATGGTACGACTGAGTGCAACTGTTACATATACTATTGTATATGATGATAGAAAAAAAAAACAGTTTTTTTTTTGTTGGCAACTTGTTGATAGATATTCGAGTTTCTCAGTTTTAAATCATATTATCATGATATCTGTCTAGCGCGTTTTGATAAATTAAATATGAAGTATGCAACAAACAAATTAAATACATCTTTATTTTTACAAAATGTTTAATACAACTTTACAGTTTAACTCGTTATAACATGCCATTGGTTTCAGGCAATTATTACAATTAATTCGCGATCTCTCGAAAATTAAATGCACTAAACTTATAATACATTCCGTAAAATAAAGGAATCATCGGATTAATTTCGTTGCCATTAAAAGAGTGTACTGTGTCCTATTGTATTCCTTTTTAATATTTAATGTGACAACACAGCCTTTACTCTTAGATATAACAATGGAAGATGTTGCCATGTAATAATAGTGAATTAATTAATATAACAGTTTGCGTGCCTCGTCTTAAAGAATGAATCAAGCGAATGGATCCGTCTATTAATCTTTTGTCAATTTATTATTTGGAAAAAGTTATGCTTCACTTGTATAATAGTTCCAAGTAGAAACGTATGAATTGCTGATTCTCAAATTGCATGATGTGCACACGTGTGTAGTATCAATTTATAATATTAAGTAATACCTACAGCAACAGAAAAAGGCCTAAACAGATTTAGTTAAAAGTCAACAGTATCGTTCTAGTACAAATCACGGGTAATAATAAAAGTAATAATCCAGACGAATTGATTGCCAGGATAAAATATGTGAAATTTTAAAAAGTAGTTACAAAGCTGCCATATAATTATAAAAGTTAGTGTCTCAATAATTTGGATTCTAAATCAAAAATAAACATCTGCTTTCGTATATCCACACAGACTTAGATAGAAAGGTGAAATAGATCTCTTTGAATAGATCTCTTCATCCTTGACATTAATTACACTCATTTGCAACTGTGTATGGGAAAAAAGGCAAATTCCTCATGAAAAACTAATGTGATAATTGGCTAATGAATATGCAGCATAGCTGAAATTATGTATAAATAACATTACTTATTTGCGATATAAAGATATTGTTTGTAGAATCTTTTTTGAAAAGCGCAATTAGCCACGCACACAATAGTAGATAGATATGCAACTGCAGTAGAATACACAGTATTATACTTCGATAGATCGTAAAAATTCGGTTAGTGTACCGTGTATGAATGAATGCGCGTGTCTTATGTTCTTGTCCACTCTAGCTAATATCAGCTGATTTACTTGATGTAGACATGTGCAAAGATCTATCGATGCTGTATATAATAAATTAATTGTACATATGATTTCACGTGAATTTACGTGCGTGTATCTATCATTATATCGAAATTGTGAATTGTACAGAATTGTATTGAGTTAGTAATTTTTAAGTCGATCAAATATCATTGTGATGTCACGATAGATTGTCACATGTAGCACGCATGCTGATGATTTTTTTTTTATACTATTTAATTTTATGAATTAAATGACAAGCGATTATATATCAGTCATAACTTGTATTTCACCTACTTTTCTTTTTATCTTATTTTTATATTACACGCACACATATACGTTATTTCTTGAGGCAGCTGTTATATATATTTTTACATATATAGGCTTTTTTATCGACATCCTTATCTTCCAATGTCGCGATATACAACTGTTTATATTTTGTACAATATTTTTGGAAATTCTGGTAATAGTTGAAGAGCCTTCCTAAGACTATCGTACTTGCGTCAGGATTGTATCGCACATCATTTCTAAAAGCGCGCGAGAATTTTGTCAGACTATTGGCAGAATTTCCTCTTTATATATATACTATATATATATTATGAACGAATATATAAGCAAATAATTTTTAAGTACTATATTATACCAAAATACGAGTGAGATGATTCATTGAATGTGCAACGAAAAAATTAGACTCGACTTACCAATTAGCTAATTAAGCGCTGCTTTGCAAGTAGGAAATTGAGTCGCTAAGAAGACAAATACAATTGCCGCAATCGCTTTCTTCTTACACTCAATACTTGACTATAAAGTAGTATAGGTATACTGATGTAACTGTAATATTCTTTTTATTTTCTTTTCCTTTTTATCATTTTTGCTTATGAATGTCTTAGCTTTCAAAAGGACATTTTGTAATGAAAATGGGAAGAACTCTAAAGCAATTGCCGTTAATCTTCAAATTACACCTGAACACGCGTAATATCGTGTAATTTACTGCGTATACTCCCCAAGGCGAGGTTTATTTGCACATTTTTCTGAAGTGATAAGATCAATCGCGTATAGTATATTTATTATCCATTGTATATACACACCCGCATACAAACATGTTGTTAATCTAGTCTAACGATGGAACGAACTATGTTGTCAATACAATTTAAACATATACATATATTCCGACACTCGAAGTGTTTGAAGTTCTAAAAACAAACTTAGGTTTCGGAGATAGGCTTGTGTATCGAAATTATTTCGCCCCATCGCGCAAGGGCTTCCCCGTTCGGTCGAACGTGACCGAGACTCAATAAAGTAAAAAATCAAATAATTCTCGCCGAATAATGGATTAACGTTTCTTCTGCGTGTACCGTCGAAAAATGAGAGATGAAACGCGCGAACTGACGCGACAGGATGTGGTGAAAGATCGATTCCTAATAGAGGAGAAATATACATATTTCGCGTCAGTTTGTCGCAAACTTTATTCATAGCGAATACCGATAAGTACTAAGAAAAAAAAAAGTTATATAATCGCTATCGATGTGTTACCAATTCTTTGTCTCGAAAGATACATATATGTAACTTGCACTATCTCTCTTTCACACACATAGATCTTACGATAAGTATTAGAAAGTATCACACGTAAAAGAATAAAAGAATAAACGCGTATCCGATGCTTTGTTGTGCGATTTATGTTACGTAAAAGTATTTATTCCTACAGCAACAAAGATGACATATCCACCTAGACACTACTTTATTGTAGGACAGTAAATTTATTAGAGAGAAAGAAAGGAAAAACGAATAAGAGAAATGTATTAAGAGATATCGTATATATTTAAATATATCTTTCTTTAATGATTTCAGAAATGTATATTGATTTAATTGTGCTGACTAATCGATTGAAGCAAAGAAATATTGTACATACAGTGCGGAAAAAAAAGATTGCAAATTGAAATATGATGTTTCAAGAGAAATAAGAATTATTAATCAATTACGTTGGAAGTTGATTTAATTAAAAATTAATGCTTTTTGAAGAATAAGTAATTTTTAAAAATATACATACAGAGAATTCAGATCTGAATTTTTATCTAATAGTCTGATGTAAAACTAGTCAATAATTAGCAATTTGATTTGGCATATGAAAACTGAAAACAAGAAAGAAAGTATTACAGAGAATAATATCGATATTTCTAACGCTCATATTTTGAATATAAGAAAATAAGCAATATTTCGCTGCATTTAATAAGAAATTTCTTCGAATTCATATCTCATTTATATATATATATATATATATATATATATATATATATATATATATATATTTTGCGCAATTGCCATGCGACGAATATATAAAAGTGTAATCTTTGGAGTTTATTAATATATACATTAATATAATATACAATATACGATGCGACATCCATAAGATATGTGCGAAATCTAATTATAGCAGATTCTCTTAATTATTTTCAGCGATTGACAACACTACATCTCTATACTCGTGCAGTGTGATACGCGTATATCTCTGTCAAAGCAAATACAAAAACGTATTTTACTGTTAGTCATGAGAAAAAGCAAATACAGAAGGCAATAGAATACTATTTACAAAATATATGTATCTCTCATTCGTAGGAATCTTGTGAAACGATTACGATGAAATATGTGTGAATCATTGGAAATAACGGAAGCAGACAATTGCTTATGCATATCAATCATTTGTAAGTACATGATATTACTAAGTGTGTTGTGTATTCGACGTCCTTCCTAAATACACTATAACGATAGTTGTGACAGGTTTTAACATAACGACACGTAAAAAAAAATACGTATACTCGTGCTCACGCGTTTAAATTGTACAATTTATTCCGTAAGCCTATCGTCCTCTCTACTTCTCGATCTATATATATTTTTAGTATGATCATATTACATTACATTACATACACACTGTAAAGTATGTCATGGTACAATTTATATGAAGATTTTTCCATGTCACAATCAATGTTCGCAATCACAATCTCTTGTATATGAGATACTTTTCTCCTTTTGTTTATATTATGCGAATACGTTGAAGAGATTTGTAAGCATAAAAGTTTTGAAACAAATGTTATTGCTTTTTTTGTAATGAATGTATGAAGAAGTGAAATAAAAATGTGTTAGTCGATGGTACTTTCATAATTTTATAATCACAGCAAGCCATAGATCTCTACAGTTATTATATTATCTTCAGTAGAGAGAATATTAGATGCAACAATAATTATATATTAATTGATTTTATATAACTATTCACATGTGTGATATCCAATGTGCAATATTTACACAGAAAAATTGAAGAAACAAGATGTTTTCAAAATATATTTTTTTATATGATTTAATTAAATATAAACTTTTCAATTTTTAATTACAAATTCGAATTTATTACTCTTAAAAATATCAATAGTTTTGCTTATACTATTAAAGATTATCAAGACTATTGCATTAAAAAAAATGTAATTAAATATTCTGGTAATTATAATACCTCCATTAAAAGAAAATACTGATAAAAATATTAAGAATAAATCTATATTATTGATAAAAAAACAAAGAAAAAACATGAAATATAATCAAAATTACAATGGAAAGTTGCAGGAATTGTTATAATAAGGCATATAAAAAGGCATATGTTGTAATAAGATCTATTTATATATTACAATATACATATATAACGTCGGACGCCGTTATTTTTCATATTTTATTGTATCTATTTCAGGCTAATCATATTATTTACGAATTTGGTTCAAATGTATAATGTACTTTACCTTTCTGCGGATATTGCTTTTCCAGCTGAGAGATAGAAAGTTAAAAAATGATTAAATTGAAGAGACATCATAAATGTCAAATTTTGCGTAGATTGGAATGCTTACCATTGGCATAAATGTAGGATATGGCTCGCACAAATAACTAATTCCAAGGAGAATAGTCATTGTTATAAGAAATGCTGCTGTTCCTGCATATAGATTGATTCTGTACTTGTATCCATAACTAAAGCGATCTTCACCCATTATATTAAAGTCATGATGCACCTAAATGAAGGAAAGAGAAATATTTGTGTAATAATGAAACAACAGATTTTAGAAACTATTCGCATATACTTACCGGTTCCATATAATTCTTTTTATAGGTTGGTATATCATACGGATAATATGGATCTTTAGCAGCTGGTCCTATCAATGGCAGATCCGGATAATCACCGAGACTTTCTTCCTGGGGAAGAGGTTTATATTCCTTTGGATGGATATTATACTTCTCGGCACTTTTATCATGATCCTTTTCCTGATATTTTTTGGGTTGCCAGAGTGTAGGCCATGGCATCGCTGATGACAATGGAAAACTTTCAATTAGATTTACTATATAACTTTACAAGATATATCTGTCAATCATTTTTTCTCTTCACCTCAAGCCTTTATACGCAAGCTTCTACGTTTGACAATCATAAATTTATATTTACAGTAACATATTTACTTATGTAATAACAGCATCTTAACCTCTCATCGATACTCTTAACGACATTAACGTCTTGAGGAAATATTAATATTACTTCACAATCAAAACAAATACACGAGTATATCGACCACTTACGTCTGTCGGAATAACATCTTGCCGTGCTGTAGATAAATGCTTTATTCCTGAACAATTGGCTCGACAATCCACAGAGTTTACTCATTGGAGCCATGTTTATCGCTTCGCGATGAAAGCAGGTGTCGTGATGGATCGAACGTCAACGCGCGATACGTCAAACTCGAAATACCAGGACCATAAAAACGTTGTATAAAATATTATGTCATAATCTTATTTACGACGTCAGAGGACTCCGATTACGATAATCCGCGATTAGGGAACCCGATTAACCTCTCCTGATTCCAAACAATCCTCAACAAACTATTTGTCAAGTCGTCCCCTCCTCTCTCCCTCGCGAGAGAGATTCGTTTCCTCGTTCATGTAAAATTTTATATTCGTATAATTAATTTTGCACTCGGCTCGTGTAAAGAGCAGAGTGTCTTCCTCTCGTGGAAATTTTTCACGAGCAGCGCTCCACTCGAGGCAACTCGCATCGCGGAAGTGACGCGAGCGCCATATTCCCCGAGCGATCGGGTGACGAATCTCCGGTCCCCGGTGAAAAATGTGGAAAAATGGCCGATAGCGTGTATCTCTCGGAGTTGCTCGGCATCGTTTAGCTCCTGCGGCAAATCGCGATCGTTCCCGCGTCATCTCTGACAGCGCGTGTAATGGCACACGTGGGGGCGAACCCGGCGATAACGTCAACTTCGTAACGGTACGTATGTAAGAAGCGTCCCCGGAAAGAGAGCAGGAGGTGGTATCTGTGCTGGTGCAGCAGGAAACCCGCAATGGCTTTGTTGTCAGCTACTGGTTTCCCCCTCGATTCTACGATCTACAAAAGATCCGACTCGTTGCCGAACATCTCGGGAACTCCCTCTCTCTCCTACCCCTTCGAGTGATGATTTGAGTTATCGAGAGACTAGGCTCTTATCGAATCTTCTCTCTCGTGGGAAGATCTCTTTCGGATATGCAATCAACGAGTTAATTGCTTTCGATAAGAAAGTGGATAAATACTAGTGATACAAGAAACTGGTGATACGCGTCTTTCTAAGTTATTAATGTTGTTTGTCGCATTGAGGATAAGAATAGTCCGGGGTTCCTCATATTTGTATAATTAAGTGTATCGAAGAAGAGCAAAGACACGCTATAGATCCTTGTACTGATGTTAATTTCAACCTTTCAGGTGATTTTCTCTCTTGGATAAACTGGAATCCTTCGAGCATAATAATATGGCGAGTCCTTCGCCCCAGTCGTCGCCTATGCCACCTCCACAAGCTCCTAGTCCGATGGGTCCTCCGCAGCAGGCACCCTCTCCATCTAATGCGCAAGGCAGTCCAATGGGACCGCCACAGCATCATCCTCACAGCCCAACGCAGGGTTATCAAGGTGGCCCACCGATGCAACAAGGAGGGCCACCTATGTCGCAACCTCCACAACAACCTCCTCCTCAGCAACAGAATTATCCGCCTCATCCACAGCAGATGCCACCTAATATGGGTCCGCAGGTATGATAGATTTATTGAAAGCTATGTGTCTTTTTTTCTCAAAGTTGCATTTGTTTTTTTATGATATTGTCTACTTGGAACACTAGATACAAATTAGGAGATGAAAAAAGAGAAATATTTCTGTTATAATAATAAGATTTATAAATGGACAATGTTAATCTATGTGAATATAAACGATATATTTACTTTATTATCTTTTTAATCATAATTTATGTTATTTTTGATGATGTAACATTCATCAATGTTAGCAAAATAATAAGTACATCAGATAAAAGTATAATAGATAACAAATACTAAATATTTGTACATATGTATCTTTCAGTTCTAGTATACAATATTTTGATTGTAAATACAAAGGGAGCTCTTTCTAGTCATATTAAATAATACTGTGTCTTTAAGTCTACATACAAAAGCATATGCTTAATTATATAACAAAAGTTATATAAAACATACATTGCATGAGTGATCTCTCTTCAATTAAAATTTTTATTAACTATCTCAGAATCAGCTTCTTTGAAAAGATCCACAAGTTGCTGTGCAATTTGTTGATTACAAGCTGCTATGACTCTTGGTGTCATTATATCTAATTCTCCCCCTATAAATATAATTTATTATTTAATAAAGATTCTTATATGTTACATGATAAGATAAAATCTAACAAGTTTCGCAATCAGAATGACTGAAGGGAATTAGCTTGCAGGATTCTCTCGTGTATGCAAAAGATGAAAGTAATATTCACCAGCAGTGTCTATCACAACTCCACCTGCTTCTTCAATTATCAGTTTCCCGGCTGCAACATCCCAAGCATCTATGCTCTCGATATGATACGCTTCCACAGCTCCCATTGCTACGTAGCACAATGTGAGCGCTGCTGTTCCTAGCGATCTTATCCTAAAGAAGGACAATATGCTATTTAGTTTTCGAATTTACTAATATATAGATTTTTAATTATCAAAATAATATCGTTAAAAATCGTTTAAAAATGTATTATACCCATGAGTGCCTTGTATCAAAGCATGCATTCTACTGTATATGCTGGTTAAATATTCAGGATTTTTCGCTATCCACGGTTCCATGGCCACTAATGATTGAGATACATCTGGAAAGAAATTAGATATCTTTTATTATACATCTTTATACATATGTTTGAGATATCTTCTATACCTCAGATATAGAAAGTAATTATATTAGTAAAGGTAATTACATTTAGTAAAGGTAAAGTAATTATTTGGATAAGCATAATAAACGGACGGTATCATAATACATCTGACATTTGAAAAAGATTGCATCGACTGAAGGACGACGCGACATTAACCGACGTACATACAACTTAGTCTACGATATCCGATGGATATTAGATAGACCTTCCACTGGACCGTAAAATTGTGTATTTCTTACACTTCTGTTCAGCAAGGATGCAACGTAATATACGCGATATACGTGAAAGAATCACTTATTCATTATCATATATTTCTTTTATTAGATGCTGAATTATATAGAAAGAAACATATGCGTGCTTCTAACATAAAAAATATTCATTTACCTCTCACGTCTGACGTTTTTATAGGCTTCCCATTGAGAAAAGCGCCGCAATGTTTTCTTGCAGAGAAGAATTGCCTCATGAGAGGATTATATATTATCCCAATCTCGGCCTCTTTGTTCACCCATAGCGCTAAAGAGATGCATGTTTGCGGGAAACGATGAACAAAATTGGTAGTACCGTCTATCGGATCTATTATCCACGTAGGATCATCGGTCAGTTGTGGTAAGCGACCTTCTTTCGCTGCCGTTTCTTCACCAATAAATCTGAAAGATTAAATCTCGTTATAGCCATTCCATTAACTTTCCTATTAGTCACAATGACTTACTTATGCGATGGGAATCGCGCAGACAACTGTTTTATCAATTTGTTCTCTATCTTGCGATCGTATTCTGTGACAAGATCCCAGTCGATTCCCTTACTTTTGACGTTCTTCTTAGTGTCGATGCCATCTTCTATTATCTATGAAAAGTTAGATGATCTTCTATAATATACGTTTGAATTCTTAATATTTTTTAAATGTACTTATAAGTATCATTTTTTATATTATTCAGTATATGAGAACAAGAGAGATATTAATTTTATTTATATAATGATTTTTTTTTTCCGAAAATTGTAGAGAGCTCTTTAATGATAGATATTTCTATCAAGTTGAATTATTATTTACTTAATTAAAATAAAATCATATAAAAGAAAATCGTTATTGTAATTTTTTAGTTTCTTACAAAATACCATATATCTTTATTATATGATTCAAATTAAGATTCTGTTGAAATAAATTCCATTTAAAATTAATTCAAGAATATTTTGTTATTCATTTGGATTTTTGAAATTTAATTCTATCTTTTATAATTGCATATAACACAATTGATAATATTATTAATGACATTTACATTAAGGAGAAATAAAAATTAATCATTAAAAGAATTCTCATAAATTTTGATTGTCAGAATATATAAGTCTAACAAATTTATTAAACAAAATATTGATGTATAAATTAATTTAGCGCGCTATAATGATTTTATTTCAATTAAAGTCTGGTTATTTATTAGGCAAATATTTTTTTGAATGTAGAATTTCAAACAAGAAAAAAAATTTACGCATTACCATCCGCGTTTTTAGGCTCTTAGGCTTCTCGCTCGTTTCATAATTATCACGTTGTTAAATTCATAAAGCCGTATTCTTTATTTCTCAATTTATGTAGAATTTCAAACAAACTTAAATTTTTTTAAATTGCGTAAATGCAATCCGACAGTACATATATAAGAAAAATAAATTGTTTGAAAATTTGCGTTTAAAAAATTCATCAAGCAAGTATTAACTAGACTGAATAAAGTTCATTTCATTATCTCGCACTCATGATCTATCTTTAAATAATCTCGCTGTCACGTAACGTTCTTGCCATTTACATTTTTTTCGTTTAATAACGCACCTTTCCTGCGTACAAGACCAATTCTTCGGCAACTTTGTAACACTCGTCCAAATTGTTTACCTCGCACATGTTTCTCACAATAACGTTTCTACCTCCTCGCCAGTGAACAAACTGGTTGCTCAGCCCGGTTCGCGGTGTCAGAGTGATAGACTGATAGACGTTGAAGGACGCCCGCACCTCGAGAGACTCCGACTGTCAACGGTGCCGGATCGAATGAGCGTCGAACGCAGAAACGACCGAAATTTATCTCAGTCGATGATCGCGAAAGGTTCGCACACAGGCCGGTGATATGACGTCAAAGAGCTAGATGGTACCCCGTTAAGTGTTGATTACGCACGACTATCGAAGCGAGTCTCCGGGATTTTTGTCAAGCTTACACGTATGCCATTTCGTAAACCTCGCGGTTTTTACACCTTTCTATGCATCCTCCGATTCTATAATTAGATGACACAGGTCCCGAGGCATGGAATTTCCCTACGCGGATCGCTTTAAATTCTCATTTGGACATGATTTGTGGTTGTTCTCGATAACAGGAAGAGGCGGGAAAAAGAACGAATCATCTCACCAATGTGTCTTTAATTGCGAACATATTTGCACGCAAAATATTTCATATGCTTGGCATAATTTCTTATCTTTTATTAATTATTACGATTGAGACAAACATGCGAGCTGTTTACACAAAAAACGAGGAAATAAGAATAATTGAGGAAATCAATCATTTTAATCTCAATTTAATTCGTTCTAGTATTATGCAAATTTGCATTATATAATTTTAATTTTACGCTATCGAGACAATCTCTATAAGATGCCAACTTGATTCCGGTAATGAGCTATAAGTCGAACAAGTATTACCTGAAGGTGAAGATATATATTTCTCTCTCTTTTGGGAAAATACAATCTTTAATTTTCATCTTATTTATAATGTGACATAAAATTTACGCGTATTACGGTCACACAGTTCGATTACAGGACAGAGAATCAATTTTTCCAATCTGTAAACGAGTATATTTATAAACTATTGACATTATTATTTCGTTCTCATGTCCACCCGTTGATCGGCCTCTCGGATGATCTTCACGATATCGCGTGCGATTTTATCGTTGCATGCGGCTACCGCTCGTGGCTTCATGATGTCGATTGGTTCGCCTGCAATAAGAGAAAAAAAAGGAAGGAAGTGTATCATGGTTATTGAAGCGGAAAGAAAGGCGAAGTAGACGATAATTATGCACCGTGTTGATTGGAACAATCTTACGAATAAAAATAAAAGTGTACATGAAACATTCACATGCACTACAATTAGATTTTTTCCAATTATGGATCTATTAATAACGGAATTTTAAATTTTTTCAGTTTTTTCCCTTCTTCGTAAAGTGTCTTAATTTTGCAAAAATGCGAAAGATGATATGATTTACAACTTTATATCGCAACCTGTTATGCGGTCCACGACGACGCCTCCCGCTTCTGAAATGATGAGCGACGCCGCGGCTATGTCCCACGTCGAAATGCCGGGGCCCTCGATGTAATAGGCTTCTACGATCCCCAGCGCGATGTAACACAATGTTATCGCCGCCACGCCGAGAGTGCGAATGCTTCAAGGTGAAATAAATAGTGCAAGAAAGCGCGAAACGGATTATGAGATACGTGTGAGAGACTATATACCATTTTGTACTATCGAAGCTTACCCCTGAGCCGCTTTAATGATGTCTTGGAGTCTCTCCACCGTCTTTTCCCGTAGGTTATCTATCTTTATGAAGCCAGCTTCCATGCATACCAGAGCTTTCGACAAGTCTGGAAAAACACAGTCTTAATTACCGGCATTGATATTATAGAATTAGAGTAACTAATATTCATATGGCGCTTTCTAATTTTATCCTTGACCAAATTTGTCAAGTTACAAGTCGCATATTTTCTGAATCACTGCTGCCGCACAGTTGATATATTGCGACACAGTCATTAGCGAGTATTGATCTACCGGTATCTGTCATCGTGAAGCTTGAAGATAAAGTCATATTGTTTTTTTTTTAATTTTTAAAATTTTTTAGTCACATTGAAGGACGTTTATCGTCCCATTTTCACACTATTAATTCAATTCCGTAAAATTGTCTTTTGTCTTGTAAAATCACGTTTCTCAGACGTGAGAAGATACTAATTGAAAGATCTCTTATTATTGCGAAAGATGATATCGTGTACTGTCTTGCACATTCCTTCTCCGCCACTCGCCTTTGCATTTCTCGTCAAATTAAATTGAGAATTCGTTACCTTGAACTTTGGACACGTGAATCGGTTTCCCGTTCAAGAAAGCGCCTCGTCCTTTTCTAGCCGTGAACAATTCCTCGAGAATAGGATTGTACACGATACCGAGGACCACCTCCTTCTTGACGGCTAACCCGATGACCACACATGTGAGCGGGAATTTGTGGACGAAATTGGTAGTACCATCGATGGGATCTATGATCCACGTAGGAACATCGGTCAGTTCTGGTAGCTCTTTGCCGGTGGACTCCTCCGCGATGAATCTGATAAACGAGAGATAAACATCATTGATTTTTATTTTCTTTTTACATTATTATTTTTCTATCTCGAATGATGTTATTTCGAAAGACTTTACTTGTGGCTAGGGAATGCTTGTTTAAGTTTGCCGATGATAACATTCTCTATCTTGCGATCGTACTCGGTGACGAGATCCCAATTACCCAATTTTTCGTCGATTTGTTTGAGGTTGTTGATGGAATCTCGAAGAATCTTAATCAGACATTTCGTATTTTTTTAGAATTGACAGATTATAACAGATTGTTTAAAAAATAATTAATGCTATATGTAAATGAAGGAGATTACAAAGAATAACATAAGCAGACAATCATGATATAAAATAATCGATTACATCCGTAAGATAAATGCACAACACGTTTTAAATAGCGTATATATTTTACATACAATTTGTGTCATGAGTTCTGATTTTCCTGGTTTCTCAAATATCGAAAGATTGTTCGCAACAACAGAATTATTTATCATTGTAAGGATATTATTAAGATATTATGTATTATATATTCTTCGAATTTAACACTAACTATTTTCATGTTGATTAGACTTTCTTCTTCTTTTCACAATTTTCTTGATTTAGATCTTATTTTGAGTAATAAAAGTAACACTTTGTTATAGCACTTCAGTTTTACAGCATAAATTGATTTTAACAATTCAATTACATACAGGGTGTTTCATAAGTTGTGGGCAAAATTTCAGGAATGGATTCCTCATGCTTAGAGAAGAAAAAAAGTTAATCAACATAGGTCCGGAAATGAATTAACATCAACAATGTTTTTCAGGCCACCGAACTTGAAAAACATTGTTGATGCCTGTAAAAGACGAGAAATGAGACAAAATTTTGTATTACAAAAATCTTAATAACTCAAAAACTAATCATTTCCGGACCTATGTTGATTAACTTTTTTTCTTTTCTAAGCATGAGGAATCCATTTCTGAAATTTTGCCCACCACTTATGAAACACCCTGTATATTATTCTATTTAAATCTTACACATGACTCACACGGGAGGGGAAATTATTATAATCGACTTCAGGAAAATTTCATTAATGTGGATGATGAAAGATTATAAATGTGTGCGCTTCGTGGCATGTAAAACATTCCCTGAAACATCATCTACGAGAAAAAAAGTTTCGTGTCGTATATTAACTTTCTGCTCACGTTATCTTCAGATACAATACACAATCACGGAAGCGCGTGTCGAGCAATTTTTTCAAATGTCACAAATAATCTAACAATGTGCATCTCGACTTGAAATTTATGCTTCACTTTCCTGAGAGTTCTCGTTCGAGATGAGATCGATGGCACTTACTTGGGCAGCCTCGCGTGCCAATTTGATAGCGGTTTCATAGTACACGTCCTCGGCGTATCGCGCCATTTCGTCCTGGTGCAACCTGGTGAACGCGAGCGTCGCGCGTTTCGACCTCGCCGGGAAAAGGCGCCAGCGAGTACTGTGTCTCTCGTACCGATACCTCGTATTTTTCACTCGATCGAGCAGGTGTCTATGTAGGAGGACGACGATCGTGCTGTTGAATCGAGAATCTTTTCGCTCCTCCCTTCCAGAAATACATGTTGAATTTTTTTGTCCCTAATGTCGTTGCTTATCAACGAGATAGCACCTGATGAAATCTCTGGAAAGTAAACTCGACTAATTACCTTACTTGATGTCCTTGATTGCAACGTGATTGTATATGCAATTATTCCTTGATAATTAATTTTCTCGCGATTGCGATTCCGGGCTAAAACATAAAGATGAGATATTACTGACGTGTCGTGAGGCATTTACAATTCCCTTGTCTATTTTACGAGATAACAATACAATTCCGTTCTCCGAGATAGACCTTGATTCTATATTCCCGTCTATGCTTAATTGTACGCACCTGTCACTCTCTACGACGCGACTGTTTTACAAAATAAGACGTAACTATTTTTTTGTTGGTTCAATTCTCACACTGTATATGATCTGTGTAAATAGAAGTTTTTAATCACGTTCTAAATCGTTGAGCAATCTCAGGAAATATTTTAATTTAAATAGTTGTATATATGTGTACGGGCGTGATTAGTTGCCTCAGGCATGAGAATAAACAGCGATATGAAAATTATAATTAGATATGTAAATTTTGCGCATTAATGATAAAAATTACACATATATTTTTGCGTGTTTTCTTATTTTATGTTCTATTATCCTATTGTATATTATGTTTATTTTTTATCTGGGCAGAATTAAATTTTAATATTAATAAAAATTAACAAAACGGCATATGATATGTCAAGGATAATTTGATGCTATGATAAGAAATCTTCGTCTTGACCTTAATAACGCGTAATAGTTACATAATTTCCACAATATTTTTTGCATGCAAACTTTTCTACGCGTCTGTATTTGATTATATTATTTCATTCTTAAAATATTCCTGATGAATTATGAAAAACACAGATTTTGCTCAAATTTATATTCTACAAGATATATTTGTTATTATACATTTTGTGCTCACGTATTTGTTCAATTAATATTTGGTTTTGAGATTAAAACGGCACCTGTATATTTTTAGAAACTTTCTTGGAAAATTTGAGAGAGGAATCGCGAGCAACTCGCTCTGCAATTATATTACTTTTCTTGTGCATCTTTCATATTAATATACAGTGTCGGTTAATATTTTTGATCGATATTATTAAAGTTGAGCACCTTATGATTTTAATTATTTTTTAATGGTTCTCGATTACAAAATACTTATGTTCGTTACATATTAAATTATCCGCTTCTCTATCTGCAACTTACGCTGATTACGTAAATACTTAATATTCTTTAATCAATGATTGTTTATTAATAAAAAAAATAATAAAAAATAGTTGTAATTATCTATAAAGTTGTAATTATCTGTAATTATCTATAAATATATAGTTATTTTAACGACTATATATATAGATAGTAAATTTAATTATATATAGTTATTTTAACGACTATATATATAGATAGTAATTTTAAATATATATATATGTATATATATATATTTAAAATTACTACGCACAACAACTTTTTATTTTGGTGCATCGTACAGTATATATACAATTTTTGTGTATTTGTGTAGTATCGCGATTTATAATATAAAAAAAATGATTTAAAAGATTAATTATACGAATCGAAGATGCATTGAATCTATATATATATTATAAAGAAGATAACATTAAATTCTTGAAAGTCGCCAGTAGATAAAATAAAAGACGTAATTAAAATCGACCACACTGGCAATATTATTGATGGTAAAAAATCACTACTGATTTCACGAAACATTTCAAGAATCACTAGTGATTTTTTACCATCAATAAAATTGCCAGTGTGTCGATTTTAATTACGTCTTTTATTATAAAGAAGAATCAGTAAAGCAATTTGTAACATCCGTGAAACAATCAAGAATATTTATCATGTGTAATAACAAGACTGTTGACAAGAATCTTCTCATGCTAATTAATCTTTTTATCTTATCTGCTAATAATAGTATCTTATAAAATTGCGTGGAAAAGTCCTCAACCGATTACTTTAATGTTTTAATATCGTGATGTGTTAAACTTGTTAATTAATGTAAAATTAAAAAGTATCACTTTTTCTATCTCCCCGTTTTGTAAATTGTAAGAACTGCATCATTAAATTGATGTAAATGTAAATTACAGGAACACAGTAAAGTTGCGTGCGCGTATAAATGTGTACATCGTTATTATGATTTTCTTCTTCTTTACTTGTTTCGTTTAACACAATAATTATTCAAGATTACTCCAATTTATACTTCCCTAATTTTTAAGTAAATAATTTTCTTTATACATTCACGGTATATATATGTGTGTGTGTGTGATTAAAAAATAATTTCTTAATTCAATATCGCGTTTTATACATTATAAAAGATATCATTTGTGAATGAATACAATGATATTTATATATTGCAACATCATTACGTTTGACTATTAAATTATTTAAATTATATAGATAAAAAAATTATGCAAAAAAAATTTCTGAATTTTAATATTTATGAAATATTATATCGACAAAACAGAATTATATATATCGAGGAAGAAGTTCAATAAAAACATATTTTTCGAAATATATTTGCAGATACGCGCGATATATTTTTGAGAGTGGGATAAATTTATCATTGTTATAAAGTTAACAATGACAAGAGAGGGGGGGAGGGGGGGACATATATTTAACAATGACAAGAGAGAGGGGAGGAAGGGGAGAGAGAGAGAGAGAGAGAGAGAGAAAGATGTCTCAATCAAGGAGAAAACTAGAAAAAAAATTGCGCAATATGGCGACATAATACATCTTTACGTTAATACAATCAGATTGATATCATATGTGTTGGAAATGCGTCATAAGGATTTTTCATAGAAAAATTCTTTAGACTGGTTTTTATAAGTAATTTCCTTGTGTTACGTGATAAATTACATAATTATCTCTTGAGGACACACCTCCTTCTGTTTTATATTTAATTTCTCAATCATTTAATATGGTTTATTTTTTTGCATTGCATCTGATTTTCAAGTTATTTACTTTGTATTTTTAAGTCAGTTTCGATGATTAATTTTATAGACATCTCACGTGCCAAGGTTTCATTCAATGTTACAATGGATTCATAATGTCATAAATGCCACTTGCGAAAATATAATAATAAGTAATAATATAATAATAAGTATAATAATCTGCTCTAATCATATTAATCCTTCTATCTTTTTAAGACTCTGCAAGAAATCATAATCGTGATTCCGATTTAAAATTTTAATGCGCAGCTTGTTTGAAGTAATTATTTTTTTATTATGCGTACATACACACACATATTCTTATGTGTGTGTATGTACACATGCTTTTTTATGTAATTTAAGTCATCATTCATCCTGTCAATTATTGAGATGATATGTCAGATAAAATTTATATAGAATTTCGAAAAAGATTTCTCGAAAGATTCATAATTTATATCGTAGGAACAAATATGTATAATATTCGCACAGTATTCGTTTATTCATCTTGATTTTCTTACTTTTCCTCTTCATAACAGTTCCACGGTAACAGTTCCACATAACAGGACAACGGTTTATTCTTTAATTTTATCAACAAAATGCTCGTCAATTTATTGATTTACTTTATCAGCTCACAGGCGTGAGTTCTTTCACGAACTCGTAGCACTTTGTGATATCCAGGTTGTTCGACATGATAGTTGACATTGAAAGATTCGTCGATATGACTGATCGATTCGCAGCGTAAAATTCATGTCTAATATTATCCGTTGTCTCTCTAACAATAAGTAATGTGTAATAACGACAATATAGTAATAATATAAAATAACGGCAGTATAGTAATAATAAGCAAATTTTTTTCAACATACGAAAGAATTCATATACGTGCTTCTTGCGCAAATTGCTTACTTGCTTTTGCACTAACTATCATAGAACAAATATTTTGAGATTCATGAAACATTCTCTGAAAGCCCTTGAAATTTATTGGATTACAGAAAGAAAAGAGGACGTGCGACTTCTATATCGAGACTTTATATATATATATAAACTTATATATAAACTTTTATATATATAAACTTTTTATATATAAACTATATATAAACTTTTCTTTATCGAGACATTATACTATATATTTATATATTGTATATTTATGCGTATAAATACAAGGAAAGCATCAAAAATACCTTCACTTATAGATTCAGTATTTTTAGATCGAATACATCGTGTCTAAGATATTGCGTTATGACTTTAGTAGAAAGAATTAGTTATTAGCGAACGGAAAATGAACAAAATTCTGTTATATTCTGTTTATTTTACTGTATTCTAAGGGGTGAAATAACACTAATCATTATGAACTCGTCACAAAATTCTATATATTATACTAAATTGCTAATAAATGACGTTACAACTGAAGCAAGAACAACGATTCACAATTAGATAGGATACATACATGTTCGAGCTCGAAAATATCTAAACTAAAAGACATTTTCTACATGCAATTAAACAAAAAAACATATTAAATAAATATACTTTTTTAAATAAGTATATTTTTATTCCGGGCTTAATCGATTTATAATTTGCTTGTCTAATATAATTATTAATATTATAATATTAAAATATAATTATATTGTAATATATATAATTTAATTTTTATTAATATTATAATTACTACACACACGCACCTACAAACACACATATTTCACTGTTATAATATATTTTATGTAACAATTCAAATATATGTTTAAATAATTTCAAATAATTAAACATTCTCGTGTGAACAATATCGTTATTCAAGTTTTATTTTTAATAAATGTAATAACATTTATTTCATTGTCTGCAACAAAAGACTTCTTTGGTGGGTTTTGATGTCTGCGTGTTTTATCAATTTTACGAGTTCTTTCGCTAGCCTACAATTACCAACAGCTATAAGTTTCGGTGACATAACGTTGAACTCTCCACCTAAAGGAAGAAGAAAATGTTTTACTTGATTTTTGATTTTATATTGCGAAGATAATCGGGAAAAGACACATGTATGTTATAATATATAGGATATACCATTTGTATCGATCACCATACCGCCAGCCTCCCTAATGATAAGAACACCCGCAGCTACGTCCCATGGCATCAGATTGTCAGAGTGATAACCCTCGACAGCTCCCATAGCTACGTGACACAATGTTAACGCTGCCGAACCCATGGTTCTTATTCCATGTGCTATCGAGACGAAAGCTTCCAATCTTCCCAGGATAATATCGCGAATGTCCTCGATAGTCGCGTACGAAGCCTCCAAACATAGCAAAGAATGTTCGAGTTCTGAAAAAATCGAAATATGTTGTTTAAAATGTACATCAAATCGTGTCAAAAATATACAGGGTGTATCTTAAAAAGCTCCCACTAAGCTAATAGCGTTATTCCTGATTAAAAACCAAGTCGAAAAGTCCTGAACCAATTTTTTTTTCCAAGATTCATTAAATAATTAATCAGATTTAAGTATTAAAAAAATTTTTGAAAAAATGAATTGTTTAAAAATTAACACAAAACAGTTTATTTTTTTGCTTATCCAAATCTTTATATGTTGATAACGAGGAAGTTTGTCTTTTTATTGGCGCGACTTTACTCATTAATTACTGCTTTATTAAGGAAAAAAATGGTGACTTTTCGACTCGGTTCAGGACTTTTCAACTCGGTTTTTAATCAGGAATAACGCTATTTGCTTAGTGGCAGCTTTTTAAGATACACCCTGTATAGCAAATTATCTTAGATAAAAAAGTAGATATGTTACGTATGCGCGTACACGTGTTAAATTACTTGACTACCGGTGATACAAGCTTTACATTATTTCCGAGAGACTCGCAAAACGATGAAAAAGAATCGAGAATAAAAAAAAGATTCTTCACCTTCCACGTTCGAGCTCTTGATCGGTTTTCCATTGAGAAACGCTCCGTGGCCTCGTCTGGCAGTGAACAATTGCTCTAAAATGGGATTATAGACTATTCCAATCTCCAGTTCCTTATTCACCGCTAATGCGATTGATATGCAGGTGTGTGGAAAAGAATGTACGAAGTTCGTTGTTCCGTCAATCGGATCGATGAGCCACGTGGGCACGTTCGTAAGCTCCGGCAAAAAATTGGAATGTGACACTGTTTCTTCGCCGATAAATCTGTCACAAATTTTTTGAAATATATACATATATATAATTTTTATGATAAAAGACATTCTTTTAAAATTTTATTATTTACATATATTAATTTATTTCTATATAATTTTTTTTAAATTGATAATTACTTATGCGTTGGAAATCTTCTTGCCAGATTGTCGATTAAAATCGCTTCGATTTTTTTGTCGTACTGCGTCACCAGATCCCAATCACCAGCTTTCGTTTCAATCTTTTTAGATCCTTGAAAGGCATCACGGATCACCTGAATAATATTATACGCGTGTGTTAATGTAATGTTTAATATTTTGCAAAAATAGTAAATAAAAAAAACTAATATATGTCTATTTCAAATAATTCATTAATGATAATTTGACTGATTTGAGAAGCATCGAGGACATCTGATAATTTCATTGCATGCAATTTGCAGTATAAGGGATTTCAATTTCAATGAAATTACATTAATGTAAATGTTCTCTCATTTTATGTTTGATAATTTGTCCAAATATATATTGTATTTAATTCAATTATGACAAATGTATAGTCAAGCCATTGAAAATGAATTGTTACTAATTAATTATACATATTCAATGATGCTACCAATTTTCATTTGCTGTTTACGAATCGTGTTAAATTTACATTAATATAAATGCATATTTTAATCCTTAAAATATCAAGACATAGATTTTCTCAATATTTTGCTCTATATCAAAGTAAAGCTTTTGCAACAGATAAACACTTATCGATTAAACAAACAGATATATTAGTTTGAACGATGTCAGAGTTAATGCATTTAGATGACAGTAGTGTGCGTATGTTACATATATACCTTTCCAGATTCTATGGTAAGATTCAAGACGAAATCGTAGCAATAATTGAGTTCCTCTAGGGTAGTCATTTTATCGATTCTTTCCGAATCCCGCTTCTCTCAACGAGTACGCAAATAACGAACCGCGAAACGTACCGCTCCAGTTAAAGTACCGTCTGAATTGCGGGAGTGTCGTTCTTATGATGTGATCGTCACCCCCCACTATGAGTTTGCATCCACTCAACTTAATAGGAATATTGGATACTCTCGGTTTTTTTTCCATGCCCTCTGTAACGTGTCATAATTGGCAAGGTATCTCACATATCTTTGTCAAAGCTTATCCTAGTGATATTACTAATGCATTACTTTATATACTTTAAATTAAGACACAATTTTTGTACAAAGGAGCTTCCTGTTTTCTCAATTGTAGAAAAACATTGCATAACATTTTGAAATTATTTAGTTCCATCGATAATATCTCTTTTTCTAAACTTTTCACGCTCCACTGCATTTGAATGTCAAATTCATCCTATCGCAAAAATCAATCGATAGGATAATGTAGATAGGTAAATAATTTTTTTAAATATCTATTACATTACATTGATACGGACATAATGCAGCGAGAAAGGTCGATCTGGTGATCGCAATGTCGGAGCAAGTACGCTTCGATTAACTTGTAGGACAAATATATTTAATTAAATGTCCGGAAATATCTTAAAAACAGGAAATAATTGTCAGCTTAAAATTAAAAACGACACGTTATAATAACATTTTTACAAATTAAAAATATTTTATGATTGTACATAGTCAAATCTTTATACATCTACTAAAAATAATGGCATATAAATACTTTAATATCGAGTTTTAAACGACTAAAATTTAATATATTTCTGCATTATTATTGCAGTGGTGAGGAGAATAAAAAGAAGAAAATCATAACGCGCGAATTAAGAAATCTTGAGGAGAGAAAAAAATTATTTTAAAAATCCTGAAAAATATGTTTTCAAGAGATTTTATGAAAGATCTTTCAATATTTTTGTATTGTCGTAAGCTTGTCGCGCAAACTATAGCAGCATATATAGACAAAGCATTAAAGAATATTAACTGCTCCCTGTTGTTAGTCATTGTCTCCCACGATAACCGAAGTACCGGTGGAACATGCCCCAAGAACGTGACATCGCTCACTCGACGACGTGAACGAGACCTGAATGCCTAAATGTGCACGCTTAATATGATTGCAATAAAAAAGCATATCTTAGAACTTGTGCATTCGGATCCTTCGTACGTTTTTCTTGCATCCGTTCACGTGCTCCTCAGTGCATCTTTTATCAGCTCGACGAAATTGTCTCGCTGATTGTCATCTATTTTCATTGTTAGAAATTATCGTTATCATTGTATCGCCGGATATTGTCCTCATAACGCGCATAAATACATATTAGTTCTTATCGTTTTTGCAAGTTTCTACTAGTTTACATAGGCACTAAACTAATTTGCAAAAACATAATAATTATTATTGTTCCAGGAATTATTTTTAATTTTTTTTATTAACATTATTTTTTTATATTTTTTTATTATTTTTGTATCTTTATATATTTTATCATATATTTAAACTTGGAATGTATTACAATATATAATGTTAAAATTTTATGTGAATCGATTGACTGAAATTTACATCCATACACAATTTTCAATTAACTTTAAAACGTTATGACACGATGTATCCTAAAAATTTAAATTTCCTTTTTTTACAGAATCAAGGTCCAGTCGGACAGATATCTAGTTCTCAACAGGGTCCTGGAGGACCAATGGTTCCCGGTCAAATGGGCCCGAATGGACCACAAAGCGGATCGCATATGATGCAAGGGGGTCCGAATCAAATAGGTTCTAATGGACCTGGACAGATGGGTCCTGGCGGACCTGGACAAATGGGACCTGGTGGACCTGGTCAGATGGGTCCTGCAGGCCCTGGACAGATGGGACCAGGTGGTCCTGGACAGATGGGTCCAGGAGGTCCCGGGCAAATGGGTCCATCTCACATGGTGCAAGGCGGAGGCCCTCCCAGCGGTCCTCACATGGGACAGGGTGGGCCAGGACAAATGGGTCCAGGTAGTGGACCTGTTCCAGGCTCTCAGATGAGCACCGGAGGCCCCCAGAGTTCGCAAATGGTTTCTGGAGGACCTGGACCCGGGCATATGGGCGGACCTCCAGGTCATATGAACGCAAGCGGCCCACCAGGTCCAGGCCATATGACTACCAGCGGTCCACCCGGACCGGGACATATGAGCGGCACAGGACCTCCAGGACATATGAATGCCAGCGGACCGCCTGGATCAGGGCATATGAACGCGAGTGGTCCCTCTGGACCAGGTCATATGAACACTAGTGGACCTCCTGGATCGGGTGGTCACATGAATACCGGTCCTCCGATCCCAAGTCACATGAACACGAGCGGTCCACCAGTATCCACGCATATGAATACAAGCGGTCCAGGAAGTCACATGGGCCCAGGTGCTCCTGGCCAGATGTCCGCAAGTGGTTCCGCAGGACACAATATAGGTCCAGGTCCAAATCAAATGGGTCCAAATCAGATGATACCTATCAGTCAAGCGCAAATGGGACCTAACGGACCAATGGGTCCCGTAGGACCAGGATCAACAGGACAAATTGGGCCAAATGGACCTGGACAAATGGGTCATAATGGACCGTCGCAGATGGGTCCGAACGGACTTACGCAAATGGGCATGGGCGGACCACCCGGACAGATGAGTATGAATGCACCAGGTGGACAGATGGGACCAGGCGGACCAGGTAATCAAATGGGTCCCGCAACACCAGGCAACCAAATGGGACCAGGTGCGCCAAGTAATCAAATGGGACCTGGCGGTCCTGGAGGACAAATGGGACCAGGAAGTGGTCCAGTCGGTCAAATGGGGCCGAATAGTCTCGGTCAGATGGGTCCGGGAAGTAGTCCAGGAAGCGTGTCAATGACAAATAGCGGACCGGTTTCCATGGGTCCAACGAGTGGGCCAAACGGACCTACCAGCGTAGGTGTAGTTAGTGGACCCGGTGGACAAATAACTTCAAACAGCGGTCCTGGAGGACAAATGGGCACAGCAGGCCCTGGAGGAAGCGGTTCTGGAGGACAGATGGGATTAGGAAACGGTCCTGGTGCGCAAATGAATGCCGGTAGCGGACCAGGTGGCCAAATGACAACCGGAAGTGGTCCTGGAGGACAAATGGGACCAGGCAGTGGGCAAATGGGACATGGTGGCAGTGTGCCTGGAGGTCAAATGGGACCAGGAAGTGGACCTGGTGGACAGATGGGACCAGGGACTAGCCCTGCTGGTCAAATGGGGCCAGGAGGACAAATTCCATCTGGCGGTCCAGGACAAATGATGCAAGGAGGTCCGGGTGCTCAAATGGGTCCGAATGCTCCGAGCAATCAAATGGGGCCTGGCGGACCGAATAGTCAAATAGGACCATGCGGTCCAAATAATCAAATCAGTCATATAAATGTGAGTGGACAAATGGGTCCTAATGGTCCGACCAATCAGTCTCCTACCACTCAAATAGGTCCCGGCAATCAAAATCAAGGTCAAGTTCTTGGTAGCACGACACCCATAGGTGCTCCAGTAAATCAGATGAGTCAAACTGGAAGTGGACAAATCGGACCTTCTGGGCCTACAGGACCTGGACAAGGACAGGAAAATCTGAATGCGCTCCAAAAAGCGATCGATTCTATGGAAGAAAAAGGACTACAAGAAGACCCACGATATTCTCAATTATTAGCTTTAAGAGCTCGTCAAGGTGGCATAGAGAAACAAGCCTTTAGTTCATCACAATTGCAGCAATTACGGTATGTGAATTATAATTTTAATGTTTGTACATATTTATAAAGATATTTCTAATAAATTCACTAAAATAATGAATATAAACCATTGTCTTCTTTATGTACTATTCTTAAAATTCGGCATTCTCAATTTTCATTTGTAGAGCTCAAATAATGGCATACAGATTGCTGGCAAGAAATCAGCCACTACCTCAACAAATTGTAGTAGGTGTGCAGGGTAAGTTTCTATGAGTAATATAAATTTATGCATTTTGGGTGACTACTCTATCTTTTGTATCGCTTTCTGCCACATGAGTTTATTTTGCTTATTTGAAATAGAATTTTTTTAGTCGATATTTTTTGGTTTCTCTATTTTACATCTGTTTGCTTTTATTTTTATACTGTATGCCTATAAAATTTAAATATATATTAATGTATGTGCTTTGTGTATTTTTCTGTTATCTGTAATATACTAGAAATTCACGTACAATGCTCTCATATCAATATTTTGTTTAGCGCTTTTAAATGCGTGTTGCATTATTAAAGATGCTTGCCGCATTAATTTGAATTCTCAATTTTATTATAGAATGTGCAATTATGGAAAAATTACGCTAATCGATAGATTAATGTTGCTTACAACATTTGTAGATTATGTAATGAAAAAAATAGAAAAAAATAAAAGCTGGATGTGATTGTGGTATTTACAAAAGTAGGGTAGAATGATCCTGATTTAAGACGGATTTGGATAGGTGGTGCTCCTCCTCCTCCAGGGATGGGTCAACGCCCTATAGATCCGTCTCAAGGCCCTGCTACAACAGCTGGGCCACAAATACCAGGTCCGAATGTTATTGGTCCCGCAGGTCCCACTCCTAGACCCGGTTGTCAAACGCCACAACAACAACAGCAGCAACCTCAGCCTGGCACTAAGACCAACAGAGTGACGAGTGTGGCAAAACCCGTTGGACTAGATCCCTTGTTAATATTGCAAGAACGAGAAAATAGGTATAAAGTATAGAGGAACATTGTAGTATAAAGGAACAAAGTTTATTGCACTGTATATTTATCAGCAAAAATAATAATAATAACAATAAACTTTACGCTTGATGAACAGAGTAGCAGCCCGTATATCGCTTAGAATGGAGCAACTTAGTAATCTACCAACAAATATGCCAGAAGATCTTCGTATACAAGCTCAGATTGAACTGCGTATGCTCAGAGTACTGAACTTTCAGAGGCAATTAAGAACAGAGGTATTCATTGTAATCCATTTATAAATTTTTCATTTTAAGTACAAAATTGAATGAAATGGTTTTTATTTATATCTTTTTTAAATTTTCTGTTAATTCTTTTTTTCAATAATAGATAATAGCATGCACACGAAAAGACACTACCTTGGAAACCGCAGTGAATGTAAAAGCTTATAAACGCACAAAACGGCAAGGATTACGCGAAGCTAGAGCTACTGAGAAATTAGAAAAGCAACAAAAATTGGAAGCAGAACGTAAACGAAGACAAAAACATCAAGTAAGTTTATCTATATTTATATGAAATCTTTGAGATTAATTAACACGATGATATCAACATGATTATCAATACTATTATCAATGAACGAATACATGTATGTTATGTTATATATTTATAGGAATTTCTTAGTTCCGTACTGCAACATGGCAAAGATTTCAAAGAATTTCATCGCAATAATGTCGCAAAGTTGGCTAGGCTTAACAAAGCAGTGCTCAACTATCATGCAAATGCTGAACGCGAACAGAAGAAAGAACAGGAACGCATTGAGAAGGAGCGTATGCGTCGTCTTATGGCAGAAGATGAAGAGGGATATAGAAAATTGATCGATCAGAAGAAAGACAAACGTTTAGCTTTCTTGCTATCTCAAACAGACGAGTATATCAGCAATCTCACGGAAATGGTTAAACAGCACAAAATAGAACAAAAGAGGAAACAAGTTGAGGAACAAAAGCGTAAGAAGGTAATAGCGTTTTTTACATGTCTTAATATAACTATTATTATATAACAGATGAGTTATAATATCAATGAAAATTTACAATAGCAAAAGAAGAAAAAATTACAAGAGAACGGTGAGAATGCTGAAGACGGTAGTGCCAATGATGATGCTCGTGTCGGTGTAATAGATACAGCCACTGGTCGCACATTAACAGGCGATGAAGCACCATTGATGAGTCAATTGTCAGCATTCTTGGAGGCTCATCCTGGATGGGAGCCAATTGAATCGGAAAGTGAAGATGACGAAGAAGACGACGATGATGGTGAGAGTGAAGATAAGTCTGACAGTGAGTTTTTAGGCTGGGAAAAACTTCTGTCAAAAGTTTAACAGACTTTATTTTTATTTAACTTTACTTATAAAATCCGAATTGTAGGCAAGGAAAAATCTACTGGTGATTCTGAAGAAGAAAAAGTAAAAAAGACGATACACAAGGCAAAGGTAGAAGATGACGAATATAAAACAGAGGAACAAACATACTATAGTATTGCTCATACCGTTCATGAAGTGGTTACGGAACAAGCAAGTATTATGGTGAATGGAAAACTAAAAGAATATCAAATCAAGGTATTTTACTCATTTTAATTTCTCATTATTCTTGTGATATATTTCCTATTGTTATTGATTTTTCCTATAAATAAGAAGATTTAATTAATGATTTTAGGGATTAGAATGGTTAGTTTCGCTGTTTAACAACAATTTGAATGGCATTTTGGCAGACGAGATGGGTCTCGGTAAAACTATTCAGACCATTGCTCTAGTAACGTATCTTATGGAAAAGAAAAAAGTCAACGGTCCATTCCTCATCATTGTTCCATTATCGTAAGTTTCTTTTATAGCTAAAAATTAATTCTTATAAATATTTCTGTGTCACATGCTTAATATCATTTCTAGGACATTATCAAATTGGGTTCTTGAATTTGAAAAATGGGCACCGAGTGTCGTCGTAGTATCATATAAAGGTTCTCCGGCTGGCAGAAGAGCTATACAATCTCAGATGCGAGCTACAAAATTTAACGTTCTATTAACAACTTATGAATATGTTATAAAAGATAAGGGTGTATTAGCTAAATTACAATGGAAATATATGATTATCGACGAAGGACATAGAATGAAGAATCATCATTGTAAGCTTACCCAAGTTCTAAATACACATTACTTGGCCCCTCATCGATTATTGTTAACCGGTACACCATTGCAAAACAAATTGCCAGAACTGTGGGCTCTTTTGAATTTCTTGTTGCCTTCGATCTTCAAATCCTGCAGTACGTTCGAACAGTGGTTCAATGCTCCTTTCGCGACTACGGGCGAAAAGGCAAGTATTTGTATATTCGTAAATATATTCAATGTTTTTATAATGTATTTTAATTTAATATTGCTGCTTATTATATTGTTACACAGGTGGAACTCAATGAAGAAGAAACTATTTTGATTATTCGTCGTCTACACAAAGTTTTGCGACCCTTCTTGCTGAGACGATTGAAGAAAGAGGTAGAGTCGCAGTTACCCGATAAAGTGGAGTACATTATTAAATGCGACATGTCTGGCCTACAAAAAGTTCTTTACAAGTATGTTAATTTAGAGTGTTTATGTGCTTATGAATATTATGAAATTTTTGTGTGTTAACATAATATACAAACGAAAACTCTTTCTGTACTATAGACACATGCAGAGTAAAGGTGTATTGTTAACTGACGGATCGGAAAAGGGAAAACAAGGAAAGGGAGGAGCCAAGGCCCTTATGAATACAATCGTACAGTTGAGGAAATTATGCAATCATCCATTTATGTTTCAAGCTATAGAAGAGAAATATTGCGAACATGTAGGCACACCAGGTTCTAATGTTATTACTGGGTAATTATCTAAATTATTTAATGAAGAACTTATAAAATATTTATTAGATTTTTTCATATTTAATATTTTTATTTATTTTATATTTTTTTAATATTTACTCGATTTTTTTATTTGTCATTAGTCCGGACTTATTTCGTGCGTCTGGAAAGTTTGAACTTCTCGATCGAATTCTTCCCAAGTTGAAAGCTACAAATCACAGAGTATTATTGTTTTGTCAAATGACTCAATTAATGACAATTATGGAAGATTATCTGAGTTGGCGTGGATTTATGTATCTGCGATTGGACGGCACAACAAAAGCAGAGGACAGAGGAGATCTGTTAAAGAAATTCAATGATCCCGGATCGGAATATTTCCTTTTCCTATTATCCACACGCGCAGGTGGTCTCGGTTTGAATCTTCAAGCTGCTGATACAGTTATTATCTTTGATTCTGATTGGAATCCTCATCAGGTACGTGATATTAATGTGTAAAATATAATATCAATTAACTCAATATGATATTTAAAATTAATGTAATACTCATTGTATTAAAAATAAAATAATGATCATTTGCAGGATTTGCAAGCTCAAGACAGAGCACATAGAATTGGACAGAAGAATGAAGTACGCGTACTTCGATTAATGACCGTCAATTCTGTCGAAGAGCGAATATTAGCAGCAGCCAGATATAAGTTAAACATGGACGAAAAAGTTATTCAAGCCGGTATGTTCGATCAGAAGTCTACCGGCTCGGAGCGACAGCAGTTTCTTCAGAGTATTTTACATCAAGATGACGCTGATGATGAAGAAGAAAACGAAGTGCCCGATGATGAAACAGTAAATCAAATGATCGCTAGGACAGAAGGCGAATTCGAGATATTCCAAAAACTAGATCTGGAAAGACGACGCGAGGAGGCCAAATTGGGTGCAAATCGCAAATCACGGTTGCTGGAAGAAGCTGAGCTGCCTGATTGGCTAGTAAAAGACGACGATGAGGTGGAAAGATGGACCTATGAAGAGGATGAAGACAGATTCCTCGGAAGAGGTTCGAGACAACGTAAAGAAGTTGATTATACAGATAGTTTAACTGAGAAAGAATGGTTGAAGGCGATTGATGATGATGGCGCCGAATACGAAGAAGAAGAGGAAGACGACAAGAAGAAGAAAAAGACACGAAAACGAAAGAAAAAGGGTGAAGAGGACGACGAACCTATGCCAAAAAAACGAAGAGGAGGCAGTTCTTTAGTGGATCCTAAAATGAAACGAGCTATGAAGAAATTAATAACAGTAGTCGTTAATTATACGGATAGCAGTGACGGTCGATTATTGAGCGAACCTTTTATGAAATTACCCTCTCGAAGAGAATTACCAGATTATTACGAAATCATTAAGAAACCTTTGACTATTAATAAACTATTACAGAAAATTGAGGAAGGCAAAGTAAGTATATTATTCATATTACACATATTCGTTTTTATATATTTGTTTTAAATGCACATACTCTTCATTTGATAAATTTATTTTTAGTATGCTGATTTAGACGAGCTTGAGAAGGATTTCATGCAACTTTGTAAGAATGCTCAAATTTATAATGAAGAAGCATCCTTAATTCATGAAGATTCGATAGTATTGCAATCCGTTTTTACAAATGCGCGTCAGCGTCTTGAAGAGGAGGGTAATAATTCCGACGGAGATGATAAGGGTATAAATATATATAATTATATTTGTTTGTCGTATAATCGTTCAACAAAAGCTAAAATGTAAATGTCTATAGGATGCTATTTTTTTTCTTTAATCTTTTTCTTTCTACACAGATGGTGAAGAAGGTTCCGATGCAGATTCTAGTGTAAGAATGAAAATTAAACTGAAGGGAAGAAAAAGCGAAGGAAGAGGTGGTCGTAGAAAGAGAGTTACTAAAAAATATATATCCGATGATGATGATGACGCAGATGATAATTAAAGGATATAGCTTTTTAAATGTAAGATGACAAGAAATATATAAATAAAGTAGTTTAAGTATTTACTTGGAATTATATATTTAAAATTACATTATAATATGTTAACATAACAAAATTAGAGTACAACTACAAGCGACGAATGTGACCTATAGCAGAAGAAAGTACTTCTACTAGCCGGGTATAACATGGTATTACGGTACTATGTGCGCTATACCATTGTAAACTTTTAATTAGTAAACTCGTATGGATAAGATTTAACAATATCATAAATCTATATATGTATTGAGATCTGGATACACAAACATAAACTGTATTACTTTATATGAATTTGCATCTAGCATGCAAGCTACGGCATCGTTGTACAGAAAAGAGACTAGCTATTTAAGATTTATTTTAAACATTATTGTTTAGATCTCTTTAAAACGATATATGAAATTGAACGGAGCATTATATTTGATTGATAAAGTTTGCTTTGAATTTTAATTTTTTATCAATATTGGGACTAGCCTATTGATTTAAATACATTATTCTCTGTGTATTCGCAATAAACTATGTTAAATTTTTATAAGTGATCGAAGATATACAGCATAAGGAGAAAATCCTCAAGTTGCTAAAAAAATATCATATAATACTACATTTTGCGAATATTTGCAATGTAGTTTGAATTGTGTGGGGGTATATTGAAATATTATTGGATGTATTGAAATATTATTCCATTATTATTAATAATTGATCAATTATATATGAGAATTGATATTAACATTGATTATTACTACCGCAGTCTAGATTTTAATTTTTTAAAGATTTATATATAAATGAATCATACAAGATATGCCAAAGACCTTCCGTAATATTAATGGCAAATTTTTTGTTTTCAAACAAAAATCTAATTAATTGTTTTCAAACAAAAATCTAATTAATAAATTTTAAATACGTTTCATTTAAAAGTTATAATAGCTTTTACATCTCAATATATTAGAATTTTTGTTTTTAAACGAGAAGAGTTGCACTCTTTTTATTATTAAAAGAAAATCAAACTCGGATAAGTTTTTTTACAAAATTTTACATTTCTTTAATTAAACACTGCGGGAAACAAATTTATTGTAATATATGCTAATTACATATGCTTTTATCATATTATTCAGACAAATAATATTGATGAGAAATTTTCACAAGCAACTTGATTTGACATCTGTCGAAGCTTTATCTGGATAAATAACTATTATATCGAATTATCCGGAAGTGATAAGAATGATCAAGAATTATAATGACCGTCACGGTGATTCTATACAATTCTCATATAATGATCATTTAAAATATTGTACTTTAATTACAAGTGATCATGCTTCAAATATACGATATATTCGTCATTGGTGGATATATTACAACAGATTATAAGAATGATTCATCGATATATCATGATATATTTATATTAGAATTTCAACTTTTTGATTTTTTATATATTAAATATTAAATATAGTTATTGCACATGTATAATGTTTTGTAACGTTGGTACATGTATAACGAATTTATTGTTTCCGTCAGATTTATAGAGCGTGTGATAACTGAAAATGTAATTTCATGTGCGCAAATGTAATATAATCGAAAATATTCATAAATAAATTACAACATACTAAACTAACTGCGTCAAGTATAAATACGTAAGATAATGTGATACAAAGGGTCTGTTCTTTTCAGCTGTACTGCTACACTAGTGCAATAAGTTAGAAAGAGACAAACATACTTTCTTTCACTCTAACTAATTGCACTAGTGCAGCAGTGCAGCTGAAAAGAACAGAGTTACATAAAAGAAAAAGCAAACAAAATCTTGCAAGTGTCATTTTGAAATTTTTATTATAATTTTCTTGAATAAAATTTTCTTAAAGTAATATTCTTTATATAAATTTGATATTAAACACACTTGATTCGATCGGTTTAATGAACAATTATTCTTTTATTTTCAATCTTTACATTCCAATTCAAGTAAGATGATTACTCACATCAATATTTGTTTATTGAAAACAAGAATATGTAAATATTACATAAATAAAAAAAAATTATAATAGTATGGAATAAATAAAATTTTGAAGCCACAATTTTATTTAATATAAAAAATGGCATTGCAAAGAAAAACACTACACAATATTTCTGAATGTGATATATTTATCGTGACGATAAATTCTGGTTTTCTATAGGGGAGGCAATTTATTTCTAATAAAGTCATAAAAAAATTGCTATCAATATATGCGAAGATATCTTGACTTATTATTCAATTAATCTCCTTCAATTTTCAAACACTTTTAATTTAAATATCTCGATAACTAAATCACGAGATTTTTTCTTTTTCTTCTAAATTCGTTTATATATTTGAAACTCGGTTTGCAACAAAGCTTTTTTTATTGTTATTTATAATTCCAAAGGCATGATTATTTGTTATTCTTGGTAGCAAAAACTCAATTATAGAGTTCTCGTATAATTTCTTTATGAAATTTATATGATTTATAAAATAGAAATATTTAACATAGTTTCTTTTTGAGCGCTCTGTATTATGCGCATTTAACATCACGTTCCGCTTAAATATACAGTCTCGCAATTTAATTAAACGTCAGTCGCGTCATATGAGTAGGCAATACCGACGCCTTTTTCTCTACATAGAGGAAGCAACTTATTTTTTTCCACGGGATGATGCCATACATATTGCTGTATCATATCGAATAAGCTTAGCGTAAGCGAGAGAGAAGAGAAGTATCTAAAAAGCGAACGGATGTTTCTGTTTGCCTTTGACCCGACGTGTCTAGCCAGCTAGAACCATTGCTTGTCGCAAACATCGAGGATCCCTGCGCGCCTGTTGGTGGCAATTTCAACCCTGTTTTGAATTTAGATGGAATTTAGGCAAGCTGTTACGATCCGCGCCTCGGCCGGTTTTCCCCTCCTGGCCACGCGATCTGCATATGTGAAATATGTATATATACATATGTTTAAACGCGTGCATACATATGCAGAAACCGCTGCATTATATGCTACGTGCGAGGCAACTTTAAAAATTATGTAATTTTTATGTTTGCTTTTGTGGAAAATCATACATTGCATTATATATAGTACATTTATTGATAAATTGAAAGGAAAAAACATTGCTAGCTGAATATGTATATTTTTCATATTTATTAAAACACCCAAGCGAGTATTTTTTCGTGCAAAACTTCATTCATTTGAATTGGACTCATTGGAATCTTTGATTTATTTAAAAGTTATTCAATCTGAATGTTAACTGAAAATTATGATATTTTATATTATGATTTTTTTGTTTAAGAGAATATTTAAATTACAAATTAAACAGTAATCGGGCTTGAGGAGCTAATATTATGCAATAATGTTAAAGTCAGTAAATAAGAATAGATTTAATAACGTTGCAATATATTTAAATTAAGTAACTATTAATGACTGTGCGCATTATGTGATGAAATGTATAAGTAACTTACACAGTTAATTACACAGCCGAATATACGGTTCATTCGGATACCATTCATGCGATAAGCGTAATCCTTATAATTTTTAAGTTTTAATTTTCCTAAAATTTATTTATTTGTACTGAAGAGAGTCCAGTTGAGGACAGAAACGTACGTTTACATTTCATCACATAATGCGCACAGTCATTAATAGTTACTTAATTTAAATGTATTGCAACGTTATTAAATCTATTCTTATTTACTGACTTTAATATTATTGCATAATATTAGCTCCTCAAGCCCGATTACTGTTTAATTTATTTAGATAGGAGCCTCTTTTACTTTTATTAAATTAAAAATGTTTGATTAAAATCCAATGTTAATTCATATTTTAATTCGATTATAAATTAATTAATAATACATTTACTTAAATCTATTATACATTTATTAATTTAAAATTAATAAATTTAATTATGTATTTTTTGATTGAAGGAAAGCATTAATTTTAAATATTTTCTTCACGATAAAAATATTTAAAATAGCTTTACGCATCATTTTAATTTCCCATTAATGCATAATTTATATTTGTTTGATGTTTCAAAGAATACATGTATTGTTTTTAAACATTCCAATGAATTAATTTAATATTCTATAGTCAATATATCCTTAACGAAAGTTCAAACGAATTGAACTGTGAAAAATTAATTAGCCGAGTAATTATTTGATTTCCATTAAACGATCATTCGCGTAATTATTTTTGCTCTATCTTCACATTTTGAAAAGGAATTATTAATTTTTATATCTCAATTATAGACGAACGCTACAATATCTATATAGATATCGTAAATTGACTGCGTTGTACGATATTTGTTGTTTTGTTCGAACGAGCCCTCTTCCATTGGAAGGGATGTAGGGTAGCGGCAGCGACGGAAGAAAATAAATTGCTACCGCATCTGATCGTATATAAAGCTTACCTCTCCTTGAATGGTTACTACTCGTGATTCGGCTCGATATCTCGTGGCATACTATACGAGAAATGAGGAGGAAGAAAAGAGAGAGACAGAAAGAGGAAGAGAACGAACTCGTGTATTATCGCGTTCTCTTCTCTTTTTTATTCCGGCGATCAATTGTGGAGAGATCAAGTGACAGAAAGTAATCCCTGGAAGAAATAAGAAAGGGGAAACGAAGTAAAGAACTATTAGAAGGAAATAAAAAGATGAAAAGAAAAATATTGATACGAAATTTTTCACTAAAAAATTTCAGGTCGCATCAGCTGGAAAAGCAACGAGCCACCGCAGCATCAGCTGTCACAATTATATTTTCTTCGCTTTATTTACTTCTCTTTCGTCTTTTCATCTCTTTCTTGATCTTCTTCTGGTATCTCTTGAAAAATGTAAGCATTGCTCAGTATGTATATTACTATCATTGTGTATAACACCATTTGTGGTATTATCCTCCTCTTATTCAGGGTGAACTAAGTGATGTACGCGTCGCGATATCCGAAGCTTTCGGATGGAAATTCTCAAACACGAAGGTATGCAAGATCAATAATCATATATTGCGACACATGTATATTCGAGGATGACGATTCGCAGGATATATCGTACGGTTTTAGGAACGAGAGAAACAGTATCAGTTTCTCGTTACGTGATAACCGAGAGTAGAGGAATTCTTCTAGGGTGAAATTTAAGCGAGAGAAAGACTGGAAAGATACATGTCTTCTCATTGGAAATAACACTGAAATGGCTACAATTGTGAATTATAATATTAAAAATAGCTTAAAGTATTTTGTAGTACATATTGTTTTACATATAACATTATTTCAAAATAAAAGCTTTTTACTTCTTTAGCTATTTTTTTATTCCATTGACAAAATTAATCAAATTATTAAATTGAAAATCCACAATTTTTGTTAAAAATATATTTTTATTTCACACACATATCTACATAATTTTTCTATACTATAAATATTTTCTGCGTGTATATATTTAAATAGTCGAGCAATGTTTGTAGGCAAACATTGCACAAATACTTTATACTAACATACATAACAGTGATTGTAAAATATTTCTCTTTGTTTTTCATACGCGTCGCGTTTATTAGAGAACTACAGTTGTAT